TTCTTCTTCTGTATTTCTTGGGATGTGAATGAAAATGGTGCAGGGGGTCACTGCCATGGAAGTTGCTGGGAAAGCGGAAGAGGGTGAACTGACCATCCCTTTGGGGGACTGGGTGAACATGGGGCTTCCTCTGTATTGGCCAGCTCAGATTTTCAGATGTCTCCAGCTCTACTGACTCTCTTGTCTTTTCCACCTAAAATAGACCCAAGGTCAAAAATGATTCCACCCCTTTTTAAGGGACATGAGGGAGTTTTCATCTTGGAGTTTTATTTTAATGTGATTTTTGCTACCAAAAGTATTTGTTGTTGTTGTTATATTGAGATAGGGTCTTGCCTGTGTAGTTTAGGCTGACCGTGAACTCTGTAGCCCAGGCTGGCCTTGAACTTACCATCCTCCTGTCTCACCAAGTGCTGAGTTTATAGGCATGGCCACCATGACTACCAAACACTTTAAAAAATAAAAAGGATGAGGACTTTGTTTCTCTTTTTTCCTTTTCTCATATTTATGAGGCGATTATACAGAGTATACATAAACTTCCACATACCAAAATTTATGAGATATGATAAAAAGGACTTAACAGAAAGATGGACTAAGGAGTTGATAACATTCTCTTCATGTTATCTTTAGGAAAACATTTCCTCTCCATCCACAAAACAAGAGATTATAGATAAGCGAAGCCAATTTTAACTGCTTAGTTTGGCATAGTAGGAAGCTGATCACCATTTGTTTAATAAAGACTAATGCAAGTTCCATATTTCCACAGGATTGCATTGTTCACCACTTAATCTCCCCTGCTTGAAAAGTCCATAACATTTAGTAATAACAACAATAATAATAAATATATTAAATGGAGATACTGAAGTTAATACTTATTTAAAAATGTCCAACTGTGGGAAGAGCTTTAATTTTGTGTGTAGATACAAATTTTTTCAATACATATAGCAGACACATATTTTACCCAATCTATGGGAAAATTTTTAAAAATTTATACATATAGCTAAAAGACAATTTTAGAAAATATTGCAATTTATATGAAAATAAGTATTAGTACCTTGAGGGGTTTAAAAGTAAAAAGTTTAAAGAAAAAGATTAACACTTTAAAAGAAAAATAGGCAATCTTTCCCACCAAAGAAACAGAACAAGCCAATAAATGTATGAAAGATATTGATCCTCAGTGATTTCTTGTATATTAAAGGAAAACAAATATTATTTTTCTCTCATCAGATTAGCAAAGAATAATAAACTAATGACTCAAGGTTATTAAGGCTATGAAGAATAAGAACAGTCATATACTGCTGCTAGGAGGGAAATTGTACCATCTTTCTGGAAGGCAGATTTGGCAATATAAATCAAAATTTTAAATGTATTGCCTCTTTGGCCCAGAAAATCCACTTGGAAGAATTTATTTTATAAAAATATTTGGACAAATTTAAAAAACATGTATGCATGAGATTGGAATAGTAAAAAGCCAAATAAATAAAAAGGAAAAAAAACCCTAAAAAATGATCAGCAAGGGTACCAATGGGACACATCCACATGATGGTATGTCATGAAGCCATGAAGGTTTGTTCACGCAGAAAAATGTTCACAGCAGATAAAGAGAAAGAAGCTGGTTACAACTATATTGTGGCAATCTTTGCATAATTCTATAAATTTACTAAAAATCATTCATAGTACACTTAAAGTGGATAAATTTGACAGCAGGACTTACACATCAATTTTTTAAAAAAGTTTGCTACAAAATAGTATGAATTCCATTTTTTAAAACACACACACACACACGCACGCACACGCCCCCCCCCCCCCAATACCTGAAAGGACAGATCCCCCAATAATACCTATGGCTACTTTGGGGAGTGGGGGTAGATTTGCTTTCTATACATTTGAGAATTTCTTCCAATGAGCTTTTCTATCAGCTTTTTCTTGGGGTGGGGGGCAGCTAGCTGAAACATACCAGATGATGAACGTGCTTGTAAAGTTTTAAACATCAGCTTTCTATCAGCATCAAACATCTAAATAACCATCTTTGTTCAGCTTCTTTTCTAAAAAATTTGTCTAACCTTATATCTTCTGTTCTGGCATCTTATTTCACCATCTTTCCCAGAACACTGTAGTTTATCTTCAAAAAAATTTATGCTCCAGATTGCGGGAAACAGCAGTGTTACCACCAGGGTAGGGATTCCTCAGTCCTTGGTGGGGGTGTTCCTAAGCACTTGGCAGTGGGAATTCCCGAGAGCCCTTTCTGCTCACTTTCTGTGCACATGCACTTCCCACTGCAATAATGGGAACCGACTGTGCCAACACCTATTCTCCAGGGGCCCTCAAAGATCTTTTTTTTTTCTTCCAACTTTATTAGTTCATGTTTGCAGTACATAATGTTTACATTCCTCTTATAGGGTAGATGCATGTGCTTAACATATTTAATTTTTTTATTCCCCTGCCGCTCCCCTCCCCCTATCTCTGGCTCCCCTCCCATTGGCAAAAGATCTGCCTAAAAGATCTTAATTTGTAAATGAGCACATTTTACTTCTTTCTTAGACAATCACAGGTGGTGTTCAATGTGGCCAAGGGGCCACTAGTGACCCAGGACAATCCTCAGGTAGACTCTGAAATTAACACTCAGCTATGCGTGTCTAGCTTTTGGCTTTAGCCTGAGGTTAAAACTGAAATGCCATCAAATACAATCCAGATATGACCTCACCTACCCCTCATCCAGTGCACAGCCAGTCATCATCCTGGCAATCCTTTTGCAAGGGCAGGTGGGACCAGGCGGATGTGACTATGCATGAGGGCTCTTGCTTGGAGGTTTACAGAACATCATTCTGTGAACATACGAAGACCCAGACACTACTTAGAGAAAAATGATATGGTCAACCTTAACATTCACAGTGGACAGGCCAAAGAAGAGATCAGAAAAACACAGACCACCCATCAAATCTGAACAATCCTCAAAAGGTACTGAATCCTTTCTCAAAGCTTTCAGGATCTGCATTAATTTGGCAACTAAAACTGTGAGCATTGTCTAACAATCCCAGGGATGGAGAGTGCTGAGTGTTTACTGGCAAATTGGCGGGGGGGGGGGGGCTGTGATTAAAAGTCTCTGCTTAACCACAGATGTGTCAACTCCATTTTCAGAAGGGCCTGGTGGAGAAAGGGCTGTGGCAAAGAGGTTTGCCTCTATTTCCCCACGAAACCCAGGCTTGTGGCCAATTCTCACAATCTATGTTTCAGTCTACATCAGAAACACCATCCCACAGGAAAGAAGAGATCAGACAAAAATCATATAGCAAAATGGTTTATTGAATGTTCAACCTATCAGGAAAACAGCCTACATTTCCCTTCCTAGATCTAGTAAAAAATCTGTAATGCTCGTTCTTTAAGTAGCTCATGAAATGTCCACTGGCAAACAAAACTAGCCTCAGAAGCTCTGGAACAGCTGTCTTCAAGAAAGGACACCAGACACAGACTGTGGAAATACATATTCCTGGGAAGAGGTACTTCAGTTCCCGAATTTTCATTTCCTTTTGTGGAAGCAGGAAGGTTTTCAATGGAATCTCAGTGACTAGGGGGTAATGGAAGCCAAAAGCAAGGGGAAGTTACATTTTCATTGGTAGAGACCTCACCCAGGAAGAACGAATACAGCTGTGTCTACCCAGAGAGGGAAGAAGTGAGTGCTTACAGGAACACGCTCTGCAGCCACCAGATCCGGGCTTCCCATCATCTACTCAGTGTCTAAGGGTGACTGCTTCATTTCCACCCAGACCTCAGTCTCCTCATCTGAAAATGGAGATGCCTGCCTCATAGGACTGCTGTGAGAATTAAATGAGTCAAAACATACAATGGAAAATCTAGGAGCACTGCCTACCACACAGAAAGCTCTCCCTAAATGCTTGCTACTATTATAATGTGGAAACTTTCAAGATATGAAACAGAAGAGAAAAATAAGCCTCTCTCAGATGGGGACTGCGGACCACCTGCACTTGATGAATCCTGAAGGCTACTAGGGGGATAGTGAAGACAGGCCGGCAGGTGGCAGCCAGCTAGGGTAGTAACATCCCGACTACCTCCCTCCAAAACCTCAGAGCTGTGAATGTCTAACCAAAAAAGCAGGATGTACAAGGGTACCCCAGATAACAAGCTTTCTGAGTTTCCAGAATGGCAGGCTGGCACTGAGTGGCCACAGCAACGGGATCATATCCACACTTCAGTCTTGACAGTTCAGTTCGTTTATGCATGAACACTTATTTAAGGCCACTGTCACAGAGTTGGTGATGTGCATCGTCTGGAAGCTTTTAGTCTAAACAGTTTCAAAGGAAGACATACTGAAACAACGAAGGCTGGGTGTGGCAGTGCATATGTAATCCCAGCACTGAGGAAGCTGAGGCAGGAGTATTGCCATGAGTTCCAGGCCAACCTAGGTTACACAGTGAGTTCAAGTACAGCCTAAATTACATAGCAAGACTCTGTCTCAAAAAACAAACAAAGAAACAAAACAAAAAAACAAATAAGCTACACAGTCCACCAGTCAATAGGATTTAATAAGCGACCTCTGTGTATCACGCATTTTACCAGGTGCCGCAGGAGGTTATGCAGGTGAAGAGAATTTTCTTCTGCATTCAGAACAAAGAAGAACAGCACCAGAGAGTGAGAGACAATGAGACAGAGTGACAAATGCATTTTGTGAACACACACAATATATCGCTGAGCCCTGTTCTGTCAGAATTCAAGACAGACAGATTTTTGCCATAACCTTTTCAAAAATTTTATAACTGGCCCAGGTACCAATTTATGGACTCCATGGTAATAACTTCAATAATTACTACCATCTAAGGAAGTATTACTACCCAAATGTATTCTGAGCAATTTGGAGGCACAGGATGTCTTATTTATTACTTTTATATGAAAAACATGTTTGTTAATTAAAATTAATTGAACTGCATATAAGTATTCAACGTTCCCAACATAATTAAGTGCTAAATTATAATCTACATTTCTGATGGTTCTTTTTTTTTTTTTTTTTTGGTACCGGGGATTGAACTCGGGACTTTGGGCACTTGAGTCAGGTGCCAGAACTACTGAGCTAAATCCCCAGCCCATTTCTGATGGTTCTGGAAACAAAAAGTATTATGGGAATTACAACTTTAAAAGAATTTTGATAATAAACACACATTAAAAATACTGAGAACAGGGGCTGGGGATTTAGCTCAGTGGTTTTGCCACCTGCTGCGCAAGCCCAAGGACCCGAGTTCGATTCCTAGTACTAAAAAAAAAATACTGAGAACATTTGGAATCAACAAAAGGCTCTGTATGACTATCTTCAGAATACAGCAAGAATGTAGTCTTGGATTTAAATCCAAGTGGACAGAAATTAGTTACTGCCCATAAAAAAAATCAGGTAACATGAAAGACAGACTCTAACAACAAAAACAAAAGATAAAAACCAAAACCAACACAACAAAAATCTCCTACATATTTCTTCCAACCCAGAACTCTTGATTTCATTTATGTTTCATAAGGGAATTAGAAAAGAGAAGGTTTTTGTTTTATTCTATTTTCTTGGTGAGTAGCTTAAAGTGTCAAGAATTTTTGTATAACAAAAATAGTACTATAGGAAAAAAACATCCTTCAGCAACTAATGAACATTATCTGTTCCCTTTTAATTCTGATTTATATCAAGTTCAATACAATCATACTGGTTCTGGCTTTCTCCTTCAAGTAAAAAGTGAAAATTAATTTGAGACCTTTGAGTCATCTCATACTTTTCAACAATTGAATCTGACATCATTATAGCCCAGGATATTCTGTGTTTTCAAATGAGTAATGTAGCTTTTTCCCTCTTCCCTTCCTTCTTGTTTCTTTGCCTCTTTCCTTCCTTCACTCCTTTCTTTCTTAAATACATACCATTTTGAGGCATTTAACATATTACTAAACTTTGGCCATCACTGTTGGATAGTGGACTATTGTTACAGTTTGATAAAACACCTCCCTTCCCCAGACAAAGGCAGCTGATGAATCCCCAAAAGAGTGGCAAGAAATCCACGATACAATCTGCTCATGGTGGCCATTGGTCCCTGCCTGACCTGAAACAAAACCCATGCCTTCTGACTAGAGAGCCAGCGTCTCTTGTTCTACGGGGATCTCCCGATTCATTTACACGAAGAATATATATGCCTTTCTGGGAGAAGCAGCAAAAAGAGGTATTTTTCCCATCACCCAGTCTCCTGGGGCTCTTTCAAATCACCTTGACAGAGAGGAAGAGAAAAGTTGGCAGGTTTCAGCACATTAATAGCAAACGACAAATTAGGAACTATGTTCTTTAATCTTCAACATTCATAATTGCACAAAATATCAGTGATCATTTAAATAATACATGTCAAATAATCTAATGAAGAAACTAGTAAAGTAGAATATTAAAAGAAATACCTTGAGCATGTAAAAAATGTCTGATAGTGACATTTAACACACAAAATGTGGAATTAGAACAGGTCTTTTGGAATTTTAAAATCCTCACCAACTGGGCAAAGCACTATGGAGTAACATACATAAATATATTCAACCTGCTAGATTTCTCTAGCAAATACACAGCAATCTTGTAGGTTTGGCTAAACTGTCTTTCTATATACTGGAGTTTCAAACACTAATCTGTGATAATGGGAGTGGAAAATAGGAAAAAGGGGGACATTGCTTTGAAAACAGAATCCAGTAGGGAAGTCTAATCTCCTGATTACTCAACTTTAAAATGGCATAACCAGAACATTGTTATAGAGCGAAGCATTTTTCCTTAAAGATGTATATGCATCAAAGATGGCTAAAAATTTGTCCAGAGAAGTGTGGAAATGTTTGCATTTTTTTTATATATGCCATAAAGAAAATAAAAAGCCAGAGCACTCAAAAAGGCTGAACTAAGTTCTCAGGCAATAAATTTATGGGAAACACGAAAGGCTCCTCATTAAAGCTATGTGTATGTTGGCTGAATTTTATACAAGATTCTTGAATCTTGTGGAAAATTGGGCACGTCTTGACTTCTCAACAATGTCCCTGGTTTGTTTGATTCTAAAGCACTGGAAAATGTTGCACTTTGGAAATCAAGTAGAGAAGGATAAACACACTGTAAAACAGAACTGGGCTGAATCTGAGTTATTTTTCCATATGTCTCTATGAGACATTTATTATGTTTATTTCTTGTACAAACACAGCCCCCGTGCTAGAAATACTGTGGTGCCATTTTTTTCTTTTGGTGGTGAGAAATAGTACTGTTAAGGCAAATCTTACCCAGCAGCAGTAACCACCTAAGGACAGGCAATTTTCAGTTGGCTTTTCAGAAGCTGGTTGCCATGACAAAGAGCACAATTTATTCCTCAGTCCCTTATCACAGCCACAATCATAGACCATAAAAATTAACAAGGCTCTTTTCCTTTTTGCATGATTTCAAAGTTCCTCATCCTTACCTGAGGTCTTTTGTTCCCCCAATTAAACAGAATGAATGTCAGTTATCTAGCAATTCAATTAATGCTGATTCAAAATTCCGGCCAAAACCAGAATCTATAATCACAATCTCCTAATCACAGCTCAGTCATGAGAATGAAAAGTAAGCAGGAAATTGCACTAATTACTCAATTAGACTAATACTGTATTTTTAAGCAAGGGTTTAAGGGGCTGTCAGCCCTGACAGAGGACTCTCGAGTCCTCCTCACCTTGTGTGTTCCCCAGTTGCCTGAGTGAAGCTAATGTTTTCAAGTGGCCACAATTTCTACCCATTTAATGCAGATGGACCTGAGTGGGGCAATGGAAATATACAACTGCTATACTGACCACAAGTGAGGCACGGCTGTGGGAGCTTCTGGGGGCTCTCAACACAGGCTGGGTGCTCCTGGGTGAGGCCCTTCTCCTGCAGTGATGACAGTTGAACACACACCTTTCTGGCCCCAGGAAACCATTTAATGAAGGGGAGCATTCAGGAAGTGTAGAGCTTCTCCACTAAATTGTAAAACTGAGCCTTGCCCACAGGCACCACTTCCAAACTCCAAACAGAGCCTGCAGCATGCTGAGCAGAGCATGCCTTAGACAGCTGCCTGTGCCTGGTGCGAGGCCTTTGGGCTGATGGGACAAAGATGCATCTGCATCCCTGCGGACAGCTGCCCACACCAAGCCCACCTGGGGCAGCTCTCATGAAATTCACAGTGAATGAAAAAACTGATTGGGAAGAATACACCAGCAGATGTGACTGAAGTATTTACAAAACAGCATTGGATATAGAGCAAACAAGCTGGATGGTATTGGAAGCGGGGGGGGGGGTTCCTATTCAGTTTCAAAAAACTTAAATATTCTGTAAACAATACGGAGGACACTAGAGCCTATCACACCTCTGGGTTTCATGGTCATCTGTCAAAATCCTTGATGGGGAGATAAAAGGGATAAAAGGGAGAGGAGCTGAACATGGAGAAGGAAGATGGCCTATCCCACAGCTGTGGTCTTTCCTCTATAGCAGCTTGCGAAAACGACCAACTTGGGGACTGCTCAGGGATTCCACGGGAAGGAAAACATTTATTTGACTAAATGAGGCAGTTTTTACTTCCAGGGTTTGCCTTGCAGGTGACCACTGCTCTGGGAGCGGGGGTTGGAGTGGCTGGCAGGGCCCCCTGCAGGCAGGTGATGACTGCTTCGGGAACCAGGTACTTTGGATTCTCTCCCCGAGGAGTTAGTTTTGTTCAGCCGGCCTGAAGGGAGCAAGAAAGAGGAGCAGAGGTGCACGAATGATTCCAGGGACAATTGGCCAAGTAAACTTTTAAATTAATGAAGTCCTAGTCTACAACCACTTTTAAGCTAATGAAGTCCTGTGCAGCATCTACTTTGGGCCAGTGTTAATCTGCTCCTCATCCTTGTGACCAATTTGCAATTGGGGAAGGGAGAAAGGATGGAGGGAAGCCCAGATCACTTTATTTCTTCCTCTCCATTATCCTCAACAAATCTAGTCTGTCTTTCATCCCTTCCTTGGCAGAGAAGGGTACAGGGTGAATGGCAATTAAAAAGAGAGATGAGAAATCAAGGGACCAAAGATAAGTAGGAAGAGAAATTAGGAATGCTCTGAGAAGTATCTTACAAGTAGCAAAGCAGTAGAAGGAAAAGGAAACTTCCTAAGAAGGAATCTGAATGTCACATGCTTTGCTCCTTAACTCTGCCTGAAACACACTTTGATTGATACACTCTCTTCTCTATGTCTGGGCTCAATGCCTAAATCTTGCCATGACCAGGGATCAGCTCTGCCCCTTGCACCTATGTCACACATAGTCTCAGATATTTTAAGGCTTTGAATATAAAAGATGAAGCTTTTCTTTATGATGAGGTGATGTTCAAAGCTGCAAATCTCAAGCCTCACAGGAAACAAAGGTCAAAATATCTTACTAGGATTATCTGCAGGACCCTGGTCTTCTTCCAGATAATATTCTATCTTTTTTAAGTCTTCTGGGGTAAATCTCCATTTGTTCTCAGCTGGTGTGGGTGGCAGCTTGGGGCTGGATCGTTTGCGGGCAGAACCAGGCGGAAAGGCCTGCTGGCAAGACGCTGGCAGGGAACCAGTAATCAGTCCTTCTGGGAATTTCTGAGCTAAGACTTTTAGACCTAGATAGAGAAGATCATTAGAAAAAGCAGGATTAATATACTGAAGGCCACACCAAAAGCTGGAGAAAAGCCTGTCTTCTAATCTTTGGTCACCAAGTTGAGGCCAACACAAGGATGTGAAATTTTCTTAACTGTTTCACCATTAAGAAAATCATACTAGAAAACGTGAGTTGTTACATGGGATTCTGAGAGTCCCATTTGCTTAAGTCTTCAACTTTCTTGCAGAGCTCTGAAGCAACACTGTTATTTTAGGAATTAAGAACATGTACTGATAGAGCTAATGGATGTTTTCCATAACTCCTGGTTCCTTTCAGCCAGCATGGCTATCTCTTTCCAGAACACTAAATTCCAAGCACTGAGAGGAAAAGATGATGGGATGGTTTGAAGGCTTATGTGTCCAAAGGGCTGTCTTTTAAGTCCTACACAGAGAGAGACCTTACTCACCTCCAGAAAGCATGAAGAGGTTTTCAAAGCCCCGCTCACACATGGTGGTAGCTGCCTGGCTGGCCAGCCTCTCATCATCGTCATACAGAATGATGATCTTGCCGTGGGCATTTTTCTAAGAGATGAGTTAAGGTTCTAGGCACTGGGCTAATGCTCCTGGACTATAAGAAACCCCTAAGGAACAAAAAGCTGTCATGGTTCATCCTTCTGAGTTCAGGAAAAACTCAAGGACCCATTCTTATAGGTTACACCAGTAGGTACTGGATTTTTCCTATTATGGAAACCACATGAACTGGTATCCTTGCCATTTATGAACTAGTAATACCCTGGTCCAGGGCAGCAGTAGTTACATACTTTATACTGTTTAGTTCTTTTATTCTTACAATCCTGGAAAATAAATATTACAATCTCCATTTTACAAATGACAAAAGAGAGATCCTAACTTCCGTGTCCAATGCATCCGCTGAAATCTTCCTTACAATAATAAAAAGATGGAACTACCTAAATGTCCAAAATAAAGGAATGATTTAATAAAATACAGTAAATCTGAAAATTAAGATATTATTACAGAGTATCAAAATTGGAGTTCACAAAGAGCTTGTATTAGCATGGGGAAATGTACTATAATATGAAGTGAAGAAAACCAAGACACTAAATTACATATACAGTATGAGTTTAACTTTCTTACAAACACACACACACACGCACACACACAGACAGGAGAGTCTGGAATAAAATATACCAATAATATGAGTTTGTGCTCAATTGTGTGAATATGGGAGACTTCTTTCTTTTTTTTGGTACTGGGGATCAAACTCGGGACCTTGAACTTGCAAGGCAGGCAGTGGAACCACTGAGCTAAATCCCCAGCCCAAGATTTAAATTTTCTTTTTTATATTTTTCTAGGATTTAGATTACTTTCTACATGTAGGATTTTTTTTTTCTGGTACCGGGATCAAACTCAGGACTTTGCACTTGAGAGGCAGGCAGCAGCACCACTGAGCTAAATCCCAGGCCCTATAGGTAGGATTTTATGAATGGAAAACATTAAAGTTTTAAATGAAGAAAAAAATAGAAAATAGTTTACTTAAATTCTACTTGGGTAAGCATTCTGGGGGACTTAAGTCTTAGGACTCTCAACAGATCATAATCCTTAACCTAAATGTTTTTTTTTGGTCCCATTGCAGTGTGGTTTGGAAGCATCCGCTTCAAAGTCAGGATATTTAGCAACAAAGTCTCAAGTATGCTAACCCAGGTAGTAGCCAAGGTCCTTCATGGTTTTCTACCAGTAAGTCTGAGTCTTACAATCCTCATGCCATCCAATTCCTTAACATATACATAAAACAAAGGATACATATTCAAGAATATCATTGGAATAGGGGTTCATTGTTCTAGACAGAGTTGCAATTGGGTAACTGTAAGCTGCAAAGAGAAGAAAAGGTTTAGGAAGCCCTTAGCTTTCATGGTACAACTTGGTCCCAATACCTAGCTGGATTAAAATCTAAGAGGTAAATATATTTTCAAAATCAATGAGCTATACATAAACCTAAATACTTCAGTGAATGAAAAGAAACAGGACACTATGAAGAAAGGATAACCTTCATTTTACTGCACACAGTTAAGTGCTAAGACCCTAAGTCATCTGAGGACACAGCAGACTGTTTCAGAACACAGAACACAAGGTGCAACCACCTTGAGAGGTTTCCATAATGGAAAGAGTACACAGAGTTGAGCCTGGGCTGAGGTTAAGCCTGCCTGCCCCATATGCAGGCTGTGTTCCTGGAGTGAGGCACTATAGAGCTTTTTCTCTCTTACCTCCAACAATGTGGCCCTGCTGGTAAGAGTCTCTATCACGTACATCTAGCAACAGGAAGGGGCAGTCAGGATAAGGTTTGTCTTTGGTGTTGGGCTCTGCTTTCTTCATGAGCCCTTTGTCTAGATCCAGTTCCCCAACACCACTGATGACACTGGAAGTGAAAAAGCAGGTCAGTAGAAAGCAGACGGGGGTTGGTGGCTTAAAGGTCAGACGTGGTTCTCCAGAAAAGGCACTTCAAAAGGAAAGCTAAATGGATACAGTGTCTCAGTTCTGCCTCTCCTCTGATGGGTTCCTATTTCCCCAAGAAGGGACCCGCATGTCCACTTACCTTCAGGCAGTGCATGTCAGGCAGTGCAGGTCATTACATGGCCCAGGTATAGAAAGTGTAAGGTACTCCCTATCTCTGGCAGAAAGGCCAGCATTCAGAGTGGGAAAGAGGGGAAATCACCAATACAATAGGATTTTGAGGAGAATAAGACAACAGAGCAAAGGGAAAAAAATAAGGTTAATAGGAGAAGAAAAATTAAAGGTGCTTCTATATATATACTATATGCAATATAAAGCAATGATAATATTTTATATTAACTCCTGAACAGACATACACCACATAATGACATTCTAGCCAACAAAGGGCAGCATATGGGATGGTGGCCCCATATGATTATAATGCCTAGTAATATTGTAGCCATCTTAGTTTGTGTAAGTGCACTCTGTAATGTTCCTACTACAACCAAATCATTTAATGACACACATTTCACAGAATGTCCCATCATTAAGTGACTATACTTACACAGTGACCTATTCAATATGGATACTGAACTTTAATACTTTCGATAGTTATCTGCACTTACTTCCATTTTACACATTCTAATGTTGAGGCTGAAGAGGCTTTTATATTTAATGACACTCAGATAATGAGACAGAGGAAGAGTTAGGATTAAAATGAGGGAATTCACCAATAGTTCTGTTCCTATAGTCTTTAAACTATTAATATTAGTCACCATCTTAGTATTATTAGGAAAATGCGGGGAACACAAGAATCAGAAGACTGAGAAGTCTAGGTGTTATGAACAAAACAGCAGGTAGTAAAATATCTGAAATGGAATAAGAAGATGGTTACTTTCTTAGAAAATATTAAGACATATGCTAAACCTCAGACTAATATGTACCATAGCTCCTCTCCTATCACAGCACATCAAAGTCTGCACTGAAATCCAATGAACACTATAACCCTATGCTACAGAGTGCATATTTTATTGAACCAAAGGAAAAGAAAATCTATTTGATATGAAACTGTATCCTCAGTGGAAGTCCTATTACCGATCTCTTCTTGAATGCATTTTTAGAGTCCTTTCAGAAAAGTAGCTGTAAAAATAATACAGTGGTACAATGGTAATGACAATTGCCACTTTTTCTCTAGTAGAACCAAGTTTCTCTGGTAGAACTATTTCACAAGTAGAAAGGATGGATGTATGCTGAATATCAGCATATTAGTCTTATAACTAATATTTGTGAGAAAGTGCTACATGGAATAAAGTTCATGGGAAAACAAGAATGGCAACAGTCATTGTTTTCACTCTCTTTTGCACGTGTTCTATGTCACAGCACTCTGTGTGGCACCATAATTAAGTTTCTGTTTCTGGACAAGGAAATTATGAGCTCCACAAGACAAAGAAAAGGGGGCAAAAATCATACTCTGAACAAAAAAGCTGTGCTTGTAAAGCTGAGTCCTAATAAACTTACATATAGGAGGGCTCAAAAGAGTGGAAATGAAGAGTGAAAATTAATATTCATCTATTAAAATATTGTTATGTTAATTCAGTAAGAATGCTGTGAAAATGATTCAGGGGGTACACTTATAAAAAGAGAAAGCAGAAAGGCTGGGATTAAAATGTGGGATGTCACAACTGCCAGTTCTATTGTCATAGTAATTAAATCACTGAAATTGGTCTCTCAATTAATTTGAAGGTAAAATGCAGTGACAGTCTGAATCAGATGATGGTACCTCTGCAGAGTGGAGCGGCTAGAGTCCCCTGCTCCCGCATTGTTGATGAATTGGACAGGGCTGGGTGACTGCTCATCCGGGCTTCCTTTCCCATTGGTCCTGGCAGTGAGTTCAGCATCCAGGTCTGAAGGGGCAGAATTATTATCTAAAATTTCAAAATGAAGAAAAAATTGAACCTTAGGATTTGTACTTAATAGGTTGTTTCATTGAAATGATGTCAAGAAAAGGAAATCTTATTCCCATTATTAAGTAAATTGTTTTAGATGTACTAATGCACAAGTTGTCAAAATGCAATGGGTTCCAGGAGTTCCTAAAGCACTCCCTCGGGGGAGGTCTGCAAGGTGAAAACTATTTTTGTAAGATGTTATTTGTTTTTTTTACTGCGTTGATAACTGCACTAATAGCACAAAAGAGATAATGTTTAAAATTCCTAGCATCTTAGCAAGAATCAAGGCATGGCGCTAAACTTTCTTAAAAATCATATTTTTCATCATCATCCATATACTGACAGTAAATATGGCAGTCACATTTAAAATGTCCCTGTTAAAGCAACAATAATTAATAATTTTACTAGATCTTACCTTGAAGCACATGGCTATTTAATAATGTTCTGTGTGATGGAATGAGGAGTCCACACACAGTGATGTTTGCTATATCCCTAAGCACCGTGAGTATCACAAAGAAAAGTATTAGTGTGATTACTGAGCCTGCAGCTGAGACAGCCCCTTGTGATGCTGACCTTTTCTACTTGGAAGAAAAAAACTGACTGCTAAGACTGTGCATTTGGCAGAGATTTTTTTTCAAAAATAGAATTAAATGAGCCCGTCATTTTAAGGAAAACATCTGATGGTTATTTGTTGTCAATGATTAAATTTTGAGCAAAAATCAGAATCTTGAAAACTGCATCTGCCAGCAGGAGCTGAAGTATGAGGAGCTGCTTCCCCATACTTATGGATGTTTCTGATAAGACAGATGCCAAAATGAATAAATGATTTTATTGATAGTGTATAAAGAAATGTGTCAACACAAGATCTACATAACTCAGTAAAATGACCAATGCATGATGAAAAAATCATGCATGGCTAAAGAAGATTCACTAAAAGTGCAAGACAGACCAATGGATTTTAATGTAACAGACTATGAAAAGTTCCTTGATATAGTTTCAGATTCCACAGTATATCTAGGCTTTAAGAAATGACTAGTCATAAAGTTTTAGTGTAGTATCTAAGAAAAAATCCACAATTATCTGAAATAGCTATTAAAATATTTCTCATCTTTTCAACTATGTGTCCATGTGAGCCACATTTTCTTCATATACTTCAACCCAAACAGCATATTGCAACAGACTGAATGCAAAAGTAGATATCAAAATCAGCTGTCTTCTATTAAATCAAGCATGAAAGAGATTCACAAAATATGTGAAACAATGCCACTCTCCATAACATTTTGTTTTGGAAATATAGCTATTTTTTAAAAAAATATGCTTTAATGGGCTGGGGATATAACTCAATTGAAGAATGCATGCATGAGGCTTAGGTTCAACCTCCAGTACAACCACCAAAAAAACCCTTAAAAACAACAACAACAACAACAACAACAACCTTTATGTTTATGAGTTTAGTATTGTTAATTTTGAGTGAAATAGTAAATACAAATAAATAAATGTTGTTTAAATTGTCACTTTAAAATTTTAATGTGCTAAATATTGATATAATTCACATAAACCAAAGCTCTTTGGATTCCTCAATAATTTGTAAGTGTAAAAAACAATAATTTGTAAGTGTAGAGGAAGACTGAGATCAAACATTTTGATTTTGCTGTTCTAACCAATACAATAAAAAAAGAAATAGAAGAGGCCTAGTTATTATAGAAGGTATTAAAATTTACTTTGCAGATGGGATAATATATCTAAAAGCTATAAGGACAATAAACAAAACATTTTTCCTATACACCAATTAGAGAATAATATGATAAAAATCTGGTTTTACAGCTGGGTGTGGTGGCACACAGTAACTGCAGCTATAAAATATACCCTCCTAGAAATAAACCTAATACAACTGTAAAGGACCTATAAAAACGTGTAAGTCCTTTATTGGACATATAAAAGTTCTACTTAGGGGCCTTAGAGAAGATCTCAATGAACAAGAGTGTCACACCTTGCTTATTCTTGACTGAGTAACTGAAAATAAATTTTTTTTAAAACTGAAAATAAATTGATGTTAATTCTTTCCAAATTTGACTTTTATCCTTAATACTAATCCAAATAGGATTTTTAAAAGTTTAAACATGAACACACATGCACATACAAATAAGTAAAGAGTAATTTGGAGAACTTTCTTTATCAAATAGTACTCATAATGAAAAGGCAGGTGATCAAAACAGTGCAGGACTACAATCAGAATAATGGAATATAATAGAGTATGGAAAAAAATCCTAGAATATAAATAAAACATTAATAGACCCATATCACAAATCAGTGGGTAGAGACAGAGCTACTGAATAAATGGTGCTGGGACTATTGCTCAATTATCTGGAAAAATCTAATTTAGAAAGTCACCTTACATCGTACACTAAAATATATCAGATGGTTTAAATGTGAAAAAATCCAAACAAACAAATACACCAGTAGAAGAAAACACAGATGAACACTTTACTTTATTTTGGATATTATGAGTCTAAAGCAATAATAATTTTAAAAAAACAGTAAAGGTTAATAAGTTTGATCATGTAAAGATGAAAAATCATATATGTCAAAAATCAACAGAAAATTTAAAAAACAATAAAAAATTGGGGAAAATATCTGTAACAAAGGTTAACACACTACAGTTTTGTTTTGTTTTTTTTGGTACCGGGGATCGAACTCGGGTCCTTGCGCTTGCACAACAGGCGGCGAAACCACTGAGCTAAATCCCCGGCCCCATATTACAGTTTTTTAAAAATTAATGTTTTAACTGGAAAAAGATGATGTGAACAAGGTAAAAATGAAAACAAGATGAAGTTGTTCATATGGAAAGGAAGTCTTCTTCCCTGCAGGCTCTTAGGTCTCCTCCTCCAAGACCCTCTTCCATATTTATGTCCCCTTCCAGAAATAAAACAATTACAAATTTTCCATATATTTTACTTCCTCCCTTTTTACATTTCCAGAACTCTTTTCATACTGCTCTGTATTTTGGGGTTTTGGGGGTTTTTTTTTTGTATTTTGGGTTTTTGTTTGTTTTGTTATTTTAGTTTTACTTAATAATGTTGCTTGGAAATTGTCCCAAATAATGAAAGAAAAAGTGAAGAATTTTGTCATTCATTTTCAGGGTTGTATTGGTGTCCAGCATATACAGATAACAATTATTTGGAGCTCTTACAAATGAATAAGAAAAAAATGAGGGCATGTAAATTCTTTTTAAAAAGAAAAAGTATTTTAGAGAAAGAAATGTGTGCAACCGGTATTCACCCGTGTGCATGCACACACACAGCCCAATGTCATTATCAAAGAAATAAAAATAAAATAATTAGCATTTTTTCCATCCACTGAATTGGCAAATATTTTTAAAAATAATAATTATTCAGCATTAGCTAGGCAGTTCTGCCCTCTCATTTCCAATGGAAATGCAACTAGATACAGCCACGCTAGAGATAGCACGGCAAATAGCACTGAGCATCTATAATGGTTCCATCCTTTGACCATCTGCAGTAACTTATCTTTAGGGAATAATGAGAATCATACAAGCATTTATGAATATAAATTGCAGCATTATTTTATTAAAGTGAAAAATCAGAAAAATTTTGATGCCCAACAATAGAGAATAATTAAATTATGGTATATATCAAGGATGTACATTATATGACAGTACAACCTTTACAATCATGCTTTTGAAGTCTATTTAATGACACAGGAAAGTATATATGAAAAGATGTTAATTAAAAGCAGCATAATACAAAACTATACACAAAGAATATGGATTTGATAGGGGTGAGGAGATAGATGGGGGAAATGGACCAAAATGTTAACAATGATTATTACTTATTTTAATTTTCTCCATTACCTATTTTAATACAGTTTTCTTAATTTACTTTCTAGTCAGGGAAAAGTGATAAACACTGTAAAAGGAGATTTTTGAAGTCTTCAATGATAGCCAATATGTATACAGATACAATCTGTTCTACAGGCACTCCTGAGTGAGTTATTATCTGTGTAGAGCACTAGAAAAAACACTAATATTACTCACACATTATGGTGTCCTACTTTACAAGAGCCTATTTTGCTGTGCAAATTTATCTCAGAAGAGAAAATTGCATGTGCCCATATGTTCTGTTGCTGCAATTTCAATAATGAATTAAAGAACCAAATCTAGGTGCTTATATAACCCGGTTAAAATTGGAAGTACTTGTATGAGGGGACTCAATTATCTCTGTTACAAAGAATCCTTATTTCTCTGCTGTGTGAGAGGCATCTGTCAAAGATAAATTCCTGTCATTTACAGATTCTCTTTATCCTCCCTAACAAAAACCAGCCCAGGGAAATGACAGTTGAGCCCCATAAAACCAGTGTTCAGACTTCCTGAGAAACTTGTCTTGAAATCAGAAGTTAAATTCCTGACCTACATCAACCTTACAAACACACTCCCCTTCGGTAAACAGCCGCACATTGATTGTGAGGTACTTCAGGATAAAATCAAGACCTGAAGTCTGTATTCTTTTTATGAGAGTACAACTACAGAGGTTTTATTTTCCACTTGGTATTTTAGAAAGGAAATCTGGAGCCTACTTATCTTCCTAGGCTTATCTCCTATCCAGCGCTTACTCTTCCCTCAGATCTCAGCCAGACTGGATTAGCCTATTCCCGGAACATACATAGTGTCCTTTCATCTCTGTGCCTTTCCCAGGGTTGTTCCTGGGTTTACAACAGTCTCTTCCTTTAGGCTCCTTTGAGGTTCAGTTCAAATCCCTTGAGGAAGCCTGCCTTGGTCTTCTAACTGGAAAGCAACTTTCCTCCCTTAGAATTCGCATAACATCCGAATTTCTCCAAAAGAACTTTCTAGAATCCCTTCATGAAGCAGTGGAGAAGACACTGTAACTGTGGGAGACACTCAGACTAGTGTCCCAGTCTATTTCTTACTGCCACAGCATGCTGAAAAGGGGATTTAGCTTTTGTGGTGTAGGCTTCTCACCTGTAAAGGGTACCTTCCTTCCAGAGTTGTTAAGAAGATTAAATAAAGCACACATGAAGTACCTAGCAATATATACTCAACAAATAGTGGCTGCCTTCTGTTCTTGCCTTATTTGATTCTGCCGCACTGGTAATTTTGTCACACTGTTATTCTTCTTCCTCAACACACATACCCCTGTGCATGTGCACACACATGACTATAAATCCCACATAAGCAGTGCTGCTTTGTTCATCTCTGTAGATTCAAAGTACTGAATTCTGTGACTTGTATGTATATTTGTAAAAAATATTTGTTAAAAGAAGTAAATAATATTAATATACTATTAATATACTAATAACACATCTAAAAATTTAAAATCTAAATGTGTTCAAGAGCCAGAAAACCACATGGCTTTTTTTGGTAAGAACTAAGAATTAACAATTAAAGAACCAGAGAGCATTTCGCTGAGAGTAACAAGCTAACTACAAATAGACATATCAAAGTCCTGAGTCCCTGGGAACATACCAGTAAATGCACAAGGTGACTACTTCAGTCAAATGGTCAATCTGTTGTTTTCCCCACACCTTCAATTCTCATTACCTTCTAGCCTTTGAATCTCTTCAGCTGTCACTTCCAGTGTTTGATCAGATAGGGAGGCAACTTGGATGACCTGATAGAAAAAGAATGAAATGTGTATACGTGTACAGGTTTGTTTTTAATGAGGCAATTCCACTTTTACAAACATCAAACATTAGAGATCTCTTGTTTTAACTGCCATTGTCCTTGCCTAGAGACTGAATCTTAGGTCCCTTTACTTTCAGGGTGGTAATTATACTCCAGATGATCATTCCAGAAGAAAAGATTAATTTAAAGCATTCCATCAGAAACTTAAAAGACCAAAAGGATAATTTAGGACAAGAAACATGAATAAGAGTTTAATACTACATTTTGTATATCCTGGTCCAATACAACAGTTTTTTCTTGAAAACACCGTATTGACCTACAATAACATAATGGTACTGGCAATTCTCTATGCAATGAAGAAAAAAATATAACCATGAATATACTGATGACAGCATTTTACACCTAAATACAGTGTTCATTTTTAAAGCACTTCTCATAGCTCATAAAGCCCCAAATCTAACCTACTTTATGCTAGTGGAACTCTTTTTTGCAGGCCAAAGATTTCTTGTGCATAATTTTAAAATGAAAGAAGAAAATGATTTGCCCAAAGTAACAAAATAACTCACAGTAGAACAATTTGGAAAAAAGTCCAGTTTTAGAACAAGGGAAAGCACTTGGTTTCCACAGAGAAAAGTGTCTAAATAACCTTAGGTCCAGAATACCAGCACTCTGGGAGGCTGAAACAAGAGGATCACTTCCTAGGCAGCTTAGCAAATCAGTGAGATCCTGTCTCAAAATAAAATGTTTAAAAAAGGGCTGGGAATGTAGCTTGGTGCCAGGGCCATTGCTGAGTTCAATCTACACACATATGCACACACAAAGTACAAAGTAAAATAAAGCCTAAGCCATAAATTTGATGAATTAAAAGTAGAGGGCATATTTATTTACAAATTCTTATCACAGAAAAGAGTAGGCTGAAGGTGTAGCTCAGTGGTAGAATGCTTGCCAAGCATGGTCAAGGCTCTGGGTTCAATCCCTAGTACTGCCAAAAAAATTATTTTTTACACCATTCTTGTATGAACATAAACACCCCATACCAATTAATCCTCCTACAAGTGAAAAGCAAAGAACCAGAAGCAACCCCCTAGACCCGCAAACAGTTCTTGGAGTTGAATTTAAAAATGGTCAACATAAAGCAGCATAAAATGGTTTCTAATCCAATAGAAAGAACATTTAACTTACCAACTGTGCAAAAGTGGTAACTTTTAGTCTCTTGAAAAGCTCATCTTTTTTATATCTATAATCTGAAAAGCAAGGTAAGACAGATATTTATCTGAATTTATTTTGCTTTCTTAGAGCTGTTAATTTTCTAGTCATCAAGTTATATGGCATATCTTTCAAGTCATTCATATGCTTTTATACACACAGTATTAACTTATTTGATCTTCATGACATGCTCAAAGTAGGCAGGCAGGTAGTATCATCTCTTCATTTTTCCCCTTTATTTTGGCCATCCAGAAGCATTGTCTGCCATTTTCCTTTTACTCAGCTGTCTCTACTGTGGACATTTTGTGTGGTATGTATTTTTATAAGCTGTCTCAAATCCTTTTCAGAACAAAGCAGGGAATAAATGTCTACATTTTACAAATGAGGACAGAGACCCGAGAAGCTGAGTTGCTCCAGGCCAAACAGCTGGTAAGATGTTTACACCCTACTATTCTGGCTGGCTTCAAAAGAGAGCAAAAATTTTCCTGTGACTGCAAACTGTGCTAGAGACATAGGATACTGTGTATGTGTGTATATGTGTGGGGGTGGGTGGGTTGGAGTGGGTGTGTGTGCCTGTGTGCTCGCCACAAGATTATGATTGGCTTGATTGGTTTTGATAATCTCTTATCAGTTTCTTCTCCAAAAAATCAGTTTTGCAAAATGAAAAAGTTCTGAAAATCTGTTGCACAACAATGAGAATATATTTAACACTATTACTTAATGTTAAGAATATTAACATTAAGAATATTAATGCTAGCTGGGCTTGGTGATGCACACCTGTAATCCTAACACTTGGAAGGCTGAAGCAGGAAGACTGCTGTGAGTTCAAGGACAGCCTAGGGTACATAGTAAGTTCAAGACTAGCCTGGACTACACAGTGAGACCCTGTCTCAAAAAAAGTAAAAAAAAAGAAAGAATATTAACGCTAAGAACACATTATTACTGAGCTGTACACTTAAAAATGGTTCAGATGGCAAATTTTGTTTCTGCTTTTACTACAATTTTTAAAAAGGTAATAAACCTAAAACACCAATACTTATTAAATGCTATCTTTGCAGTTTTGAGTTATAATTCAAATGGGGGGTACGTCTATACTTATGTTCATAATTCTTTACGTCACATTAAAAGTTATTAAAAACTGAACCAATCTCACTTAAGCAAGAATCTGTCTCAGAGAGGCATGTTAAAAATTAACTTCTTTAGGGCCAGGGATTTAGCTCAGTGGTGCCGACACTTGCCTCGAAAGTGCAAGGTCCTGAGTTCGATCCCCAGTACCAAAAACAAAATTAGCTTCTTTAAACTTTTCTAAGGATGACTGCCAATTTTAATGAGTTTTCAATGTTAAACTCTGCTCACCTTTATCCTTCCCTCCTCTGTTAGGGTGCATACTGGTGCCCAGCACTCTTTAAAATACTGGCTCATTATCTCAGAATTACTAAAGGTTAGCTGGATAATTGCTACAGCCTTCATGGCATAAATGTCTCATAAACCAAGACTCCTAGCAACAAAAGAAAGGATTAAAGGTATTTAAGATTATTTACTTGGTATTACTAATCAGTTCCATGAATCCTGTAAAAAACCAGCACCAGCCTGATGGTTACTTTGGAGGATAATGTAAGCTTGGTTAACCAAGTACCTTAATATTCAGAGTCAGAAAATGATATTACCCTAAACTACCCTTCTATAAATGTGGCAAGACTTTCATTTGATACATGTCCCCTTCTTGCAGGGAATTAAAATTTCTCTGTCCTACAATGTCTTGAATAGAGCAATTTGCAAAATAAACTATTACTTCTAGAAAATTCTTAGAGCAGCTTCTTCTGGATACAATAACGTAATAAACTTAGAGACAACAGAGTCAGGATATAGATCCAAGTAGGCTAAGCAGAGGCTTCAAAAAGTACAAGTGAATAACTATAGTGTTCCCCTCAAGTGCCATCAATTTGCCCACCAAAAGTCACTTATGTAAATTCAAATGGCAATGAAGCAGCCTATGGAAACAGTTGATAGCTTTCACGTAGTTTGTACTTTGACAGTTATCCATTGATATTCTTTTGTGGTATGGTTACATATTTGAAATACTTCTAAGTATAAAATGCACAGATTAAAATCCCTTTGAACTAAACAGAGATTATAAGAAACACCAGGCTTTGCTACATTCACATTCTAAGGATTGGCATTCCTTCTATCCTCTGCACAAACACTTGCAGCCCCCTGTACAACGCAACCTGAACACCACGTACCTGGTTCTGGTTTAGAAGGGCAGCCATCAGTAGGACTTTCTGACATTATTACTCAAGAGATAAAAGATTAAACTAGACGTCTTACAGCAAGTTTTAAATTTTATAAACAGGATGACTTGGAAGGCTCTGTCAGTCTGTCTCTGCAAGAGCAAACAGAGCTTTAAGAATGGAGCTTCTGCTACTGTGCTTCTCTCAGACTCTGTAGGAGACAGAGGCTCCCTGCTCAGATATGCTATCAAGGTTTGCTTCTCCAGTGAGCCTAGGGTCTCAGCCTACCTCTCTCGAGTTACTGGAAGGACAGAGACCTAACTATCTAGGATGTTTCATACTTGGTCCAACTAGTGTCATCTAACCACCAGGTACCAAGAATAGGCTTTGTAAATGGTCAATAGATAGAGTGTCTATTTTCCCCAGGTAGAGTTGAAAGAATGTTCAGATTACAAAGGATTTCTGCATTTTCAAGGTTCTGTTAAAATGTGTTATTAGCAAAGAAAAGGGAAATTGGGCTCACAGTGGAAGACAAATCAAAGGAAGTAACACAACAAGGTTTGTGATTTCACAGACAGACGTGGCATCTGAGGTAATGCGAGCAAAGTCATGGGTCTAGGGTGTCATGAAACAAGGCAATGTTCTTCTCCCTTTTGACCCAAAAGAACACTTATACCAGAAAACAGGGAAAGGGAAGGAAATGGCTCCACAAATGCAGATGCCAAGCTAGAATATAAAGTAATTCTGTCAGAATGAGCACAAGTATGTGATCAAGGTGAGAACCTCCTGCCTTCCTACAAGGAAGCCCACAACTTCTAAAAAAGGAAGGTGAGTGGTGTTCCCAAGGATTCTATTCCAAGGGTGGTACTTCTGGAAGATAATCTCCACTTAAGGTTTAGATATTCAAGAAATCACACTGTATGTTTAAGAAATGTTTTATGTAAGGTTTCGCCAATCTGAGTAGAATGGGATATTTTTTTGGAACAAATTTCTGGTGATGGTAATGTGAGTTCATATTCAGCTACACAGAAAGGAGGCAAAAGAGACCACAAACCTAAACAGAAGCAGGCCGGCTGGATATTGCCTGCCTTGAATGAATGAAGGATGACAAGAGTAAAGTGTAGGTAAGTAAATCAGATTTTTTTCATAGTTTGGAAATTTCTTATATTTCATATACATTTAATTTATACATACTTATAATAATGATATAAAATACATAATAAAAAGAGAAGGAGCCTGTGATATTACACATTTTTTAAAAAGTGTCTAGGGTACTAACTCTTACAGCTGGACGTGGCAAATAGCATATCTACTGTATGGGGTTTCCCCACATACCAATTCAAAACAAACATCATTTTAAATTGAAAAGTATGCTGTGTAAAAAAAAAAAATTCTTGCATATTCTAGATTTAGAATTTTCTCTTCCAAGAAGGTGTACACTGCCAGAGTCAAGTCCTAAACCATAATCAGAATACCTCCTCACTATCATTAGCTAAACTCTCTCCTAGCACTAGTTTCTCCTACTTAACACTGGAGCAAATCCATCTGAGAAAACAGATGTTTTTATTTCTTTAATCCTGGCCTTGGTATGTACATTTTACACAATTTTGAACACAGCTTAAAAAATTATGATTTTTGTGTAAGGGCAATGCCCTCAGTCACTAGTAAGGTATCTCTACAGAAGATTTGTTTTTAAAAAGGATTTGCATGAAATACTATTTTTAATTAAAAGAAAACAGACTGCAATGAATAGATAATACAGAATACTAAGAATAAGCTCTTTCTTCCTCATACCTCTAAGTCTTTTGTGAATACACTCTAATTTATACTCGTAAGAATGTTATGAAGAGAGATATTATTGTCATATCCAAGTACAGACCAAATAAGAAGAAAGGAAAGATTAAGTACCTTCAAAAAGGCCACAAAGGCTATAGAACAAGGAAACTCAAAGCTTGGATTCTGACCACTTAAGCAGAGTTCATTCTCCCAGACCTCATTCTGCATTCCAACATCAATCCCCTGTGGGATAGAAGTTGGGCAAAATTCAGATGCACAGGCCACAATCTTAGGAGCTGGCTAGGAGGGTGCCGTCTCTCACATCCTTCTGGACACTTGCCAGGCTCACCTGACTCCCGCAGCTCTCTGTGCATGTCAGTAGTAGAGTATGGTGGTTAGCTGAAAATCAACTAATAGGATATTACCGAACTCCACTTTCCCAAGCCATTAATGGTGTTACTCACTTTTTTTAATCTCTTCTAGCTTCTCAATATATTTCGTCATACTGTTACCTAAAAAGAAAATAGGGAATTTTAGATATGCTTTAAATGGAAGAAAATGAGCACCACCGTGAAAATGGATTGGAGAACAAGTACTATAATCCCTAAGCTTCCTCACTATGTTCCCATGAAACTGTGGACTGTAGGCAAAAGGGCCACATATAACAAACAATTTTGGGGATTAGACAGCATCATCAGAAGATGTGGAAATGAAGAAATGTTTCCGTCAAATGTGTTTAAACTGGGGTGCATAAAAATATGATTTAGCAGTCTCAGGTAATACCAATGATTTATCCCCCCTCCTTTTTGAGTCAAGGCTTTCTTCCTCCATATACCTCCCCCACCTCCATAATTTTTTTGTGTCAAAGATAACAGAGGAAAAGGAAGAAAGAAGCAAAGCTCTTTGAATGTTTAAAATGTGCCTTTGTGGCTACACAAGCAACCCTTTCCTGTTGACTTTGTCTTTGTGGTTCCCTCCTGTTTCCTGAATGTGGGCTTTCACTCTTCATACTGATGTTGCAGCCTGAACTAGACCACACAATCTGGACACTAGTATTCACCATGGACTTGATCGCTGGGAAATGACAGCAGATTTCCACCATTGTGGAGAGTCTCCAGCCCTCGTGTTTTGTGGCCTGGTTCTACAATACTAGGTTCTAGCCAATGTGGTTTGGAGCGTTTTCATACTTTAAAACTAGGCCAGGATCATTCTGGTTTTCGAAAGAATTAAATTCTATTTCCCAAGGCAGGGGCTATTATATTTTACTGGGCGTGCTGTAATCTGACTCAGTTCTCTCTCTGGCACCTAAACATATGGCCAAAGGAAAACATTCAAAGTAATTTCTCATTTCTAAAATTGTGCTTCTAACTTTAAGCCTTGAGAGGCTGTAGTTAGATTCAGCCCAATTTTGGATTAAAAAAAAAAAAGCTTCTTATTAATAGCATGAACTGGTGTTTTCAAGGACTATTAACTTTTTTTCATGTCTGGGTCAGAAGCAGAGAAAGAAAAATACTTTCTCTGAACTCAAAATATATTTTCAAAAAGAAAACAAAACATTTGCTTTGTCATTATTAAATTTTTACCATGAATTCATCATGGAATGAAAACGTACTGTTTGGATGTTTTGTTTGTTTCATTTTAAGACAAACAAGGGTGATTAAAATATATGGTGAATAGGCCAGGGATTTAGCTCAGTGGTTTCGCCGCCTGCTGTGCAAGCGCAGGGACCCGAGTTTGATCCCCAGTACCAAAAAAAAAAAAAATATATATATATATATATATATATATATATGGTGAATAAATTTATCACAGTAAAAGACACATTGCCATTAATTCCCCTCAAAGTACTCCCCTCTTCTTCAAACACACTTATCTCATCGTTCTTGTCACTTTCTGAAGCGGTTCTGTAAGTCCTCTTTTGTGTCTTTATGAGGCATGATTAAAAAAAAAAAAGTACAGTGAGTGCTGCTGCCAAGTGCCACCCGACGGAAAGGCAGGCTTGTGAAAACACTATGGTGTGTCGTCATCCACCTTATTCGCTGTATCTGGCACTGTGACTTTTGGCTTTTTTCCCAAGTCAAAATGACCAGGAAAGCTAAAGGTTTTGGTTCAATTCAGGACATCAAGGCAGCTACAACAGCACAAAAAAAGACACTCACGGAAGAGAACTTCCAGAACTGCTTCAGAAAGTGACAAGAATCACAGGTACGTGTGTTTGAAGCAAGGAGGAGTATTCTGAAGAGCATTAATGACAATGTGTCTTTTACTGTAATAAAAGTTTTAACATTCATTGCATTTTTTTTATTATACCTTCTATACTCTCTGTATCAGGACTAGAAAGGGAGATTCATTGTATCCTAGATCTACAGCAAAATCCATGAATTTTTCCTGGACACACAAGACTTGCCTGGTCAATATAATGAGGGAAGACAGCAAATTAGCATGCTATTCAGCTTCCCACAATATTATTCTTAAAATATTTATAAAGTAATATTTGGAGCCAGGCGTGGTGGTGCACACCTGTGATCTCAGCACTCAGGAGGCTGAGGCAGGAAGATCACTGCAAGTTTGAGGCCAGCCTGGGCTACATGATGAGTTCAGGGCCAGCCTGAACTATAAAGCAAGACCCTGTCTCAAAAAAAAAAAAATTTTAAAAATTAAGTAATGTTTGGTTATGTGTCCCTCCCTATGTCCCTTATGCTGTTGACATGGCCATTATTTTCTTTTGGCTAGGGAAGCTTCAAATGGTATAGTCAGAACACTGAAAAACAAAACAAAAAAACAAAAAAAAAAGAAAACTGAAAAACAATAACAACAATAACAAAAAAGATTACTGATTTGTCCAATGATATAGCAAGTGAGTATATAAGCCAGGATTTCATTCCTCCAAGCAAAAAACACCTGGCTTTTCTAGTTGTATTACAATTATTTCTAATTGAACCCTTGTGCACGCAATGAAGCGCTTTACCACTGAGTTATGTCCTTAGCCCTTGTCTTGCTTTAAAACATGATTCATTATGAGGCAAATTCATAGGAAGTACTACTTCTTTAACTGTAACTACTGGGGATCATATGATACTGTAAATTCCCTTAGGAATAAAAAACAACAGCCAACTTTATACATCTGCATTATTAAAATATTACAGTTCTAAGCATTAGCAGTTTTTACTAACAGTGCATAAAATTAATCTTATTAACTACCAGAATTTTCTATGTATTGACACAGCATTCCATGTCGTATCAGGAGATCCTCACAGGACACTGAGGTAAGCTGTACCACTTATTATTTGTTTTTCCTACTACAGGAGAAGTCAGAGAAAGAAAATCTTTTGTAGTTATGACATATCTGGCAAAATTATGAACAATCCAAAGAGGGTGATTAATAAGCTTTTTTTCATTATAGACATTGATTCTATCCAAATATGGAAGAGAAAAAGAGAGGAGGATTTCTCCATTGCTTCTACTGGCGAAATAAGACAGTGGGATGACTGACCCCAATCAACACAAAAAAATCCCTAAAAATGATTTTACAAAGTATGAGAAGTGACATTTTATCCTATTTACACATTTATATGTTAAGTGCCTTATCTCACTGTACCTAATTGAGGCAGAAAATAGTTTCTACCATTTAAAAAGACTAAAACAAGTCAATAATTCACTTCTTCATAAGCATCTTTGTTTTATACAAAAGTTGACTAAAAGACTATCAGGGAATTAATTTAAGATATTTTTTGAAATTAAACATTATTGCCAAATTTTCCTAGATAAGACTGATTGAAAAGAAAAAAAACTCAGTGGTTCTCCATTGCTTACAAATTAAACTCCTTGCTCTAGCACTAAAGATGCCAACAACTTACCTACTACTTCAGTGTTGCCTTAATTACTCATCTTGACAAACTCCGTTAGCCTTTGGTTCTCTAACATATCGCCATGTTAGCTCACCCAGCAGGAAGTGACCTTTCCCTTCTCCCAACTCGTACAGCACTCAGCTACCATTCACAAGGCATTTACCAGACTGGATTGTCTTAGCTACCTTATTTGGTGAAAAGCCCAAGATTATTTATCTGTGCAAATGCATGTTCATGCACACTCACACACAGAAACATACCATCTTTATCTCTCCCACTGTCTAGTGTAGGTGACATTCAAAAATACTTGCTGAATGAAACATACTATTTAAAAAATCCTTACAGCAAGTTATTTTATAACATAAATAATTACATGATGTTTGGCTTGAATTTCTACACATGTGATTTTCTTTAAACTATGAACAAAGTAGTTATGTTACTGACTACCCATATTGACACAGGCAACCTAGACATATATAAGGTGGTTTTAGTTTCTTCCGTGTTTATAACTTAAATTGCAATGAAAGATATGTAACAAAAGTTTTACAATTAGAATCAAGAGAAAGAAATAAATCTACTATATCAATAGTTCTGTGCAAAAATAGAGTACAATCGATTAACTGCATGACTCATTCATTAGGTTTTTTCCATTGTGTTTCCATAATTTAATAACACTATTTGTACTGAGTCTGTAAAAAAAGCAAGTAATTCTGAACAGCAGTAATATAAAGTGGGTAAGATTTATACAGCACGAACTCCGTTGCTAAGCAACAACTCCACGGCTTTATTTTTCTTCAATATTTCCCTCCTCTATGAAGAAGTTCTTTTGGCTCAGAAGAAGCAGAAAGCATGAAAGGAGGCATAGTGGTCCTTTGTTAATCTCAATAAGTTATACGTGTGTGTAATGCTTTCTGGTTTGTAAAAGCCTTTCACGTACATTCCTTCCTTTGACGTAACAGACAGAATCAAATACCAAATAAAAATGAAATGTACCTAGTCTGTAATGAGTTTGAGTGCTTAAGATCAAGGCTATTAGGGAATATTCAGAAAAAGCCAAGACTAAAGAAGAAAACAGGAAATAACTAGTTTGTGTAGAGATAAAAGGAAGGTAAATTTTACAAAAATAAAAATAAGCTAGAAAAGATTGAGTGGAGAAAATCTATAGAATTGGAACATTAAAGAAATGTAAAATTAGATTGAAGTGAGAGGAAAAAGCAGCTGACAAAAGAGTTGAAGGCACTAATAAAGGAGAGAGCCTTGTGGTTTCAAAAAGTGTCCCTTAATCAGCCTGCAGCGCAGCAGAACAGAAATCCAGAGAGGGTGCTTGAAAATACACAAGAACCCTGCGGTGGTGCCTGAACAAAACACTGGTAGGGGCTTCATAATCCACTCATGACACAGTCTGGCAATGCTGGGGAGTGAGAAGATGTGCTCAGGCACCTATGGAACAAAAGAAATATTGGAAGTTCAAAATAATTCTGAGATTTCTAGCCACGGCTATACATCAATGTACAGCAGAGCCTATGAGAAGAGGAGTCAGAAGTATAGAAATGAAAATAATCTTTACCCACGAGGATAATACTGTATCGATCTTTGAAGAACTCAGCCAAAGGTGATTTGGGTCAAGACTGGAAATATGAAATTCTTGATTTCTCATGATTAACTCTGAATTGCTCTCTGTTTGGTAGAAGATAAAAGACCCATTTGTTTAGCGTAGAAATGGGAAATGTTCACTCATTCCTGTGCCTTTTCCACTGCTCTGAATGCAGAGCTTAAACACATTCCATAGATGAGAACTCCTTACTCTTACTTGAGCTGTAAGGTTTCTCTTGTGTTTTTTTTTAAGCAGGACTCCTTGCCTTCTTCACCACGTGGCACAGAGAAAGAACAATGATATTTGCACAAATGCTAGCTAGCAAAAGCTGATGGGCTCTGTATCTTAGTGCATAAGCCATAGCCACTGCACACCAAGTGGAAAACTTTCTCTAACCAAACAAGAGAGGTAAGTCACAAAAATGCATGGAAACACAAACATTAAATATAAGATTTGTCTCCTAAGTTAACTTTAAAATAATTTCTAAATTGAAACACACACACAAATCAAACACTAGAACAAGATTTCTCTCCCACACCAACTTAAAAATACTTTGAGCTCTAAGCAATGAGGCACATTTTGGCCCTTCCGAAAGCTATTACAAAACTAGTTTGGAAGGCTTCTGGTTCCAAGAAGATGGACAGATGTACTTTTTCCATTCCTCCAGCTAAGTACAACAAAAACCCTGGACAACCCACTGCATGGGAGAAAATACTTGCAAATCATATTTCTGATAAGTCTAGTAGCTAGAATAAATAACTCTTATAATAATAAGAAAAATAAGCCAATTTAAAAATGGGCAAATGATTTAAGTGAACATTTCTCTATAGGAGACATACAAATACTAATAAGCACATATAAAGGTACTTCACATCATTAGGAGCACGCAAATTAAAACCATAATGAGACACTACCTTCTGCCCACAATGATGGCTATCATCAAAATGATGAACAGTAACAAGGATGTGGAGAAAATAGAGCCCTCCTACATTGCTGATGGAAATGAAAAATGGTGTGGCTGCTTTGGAAAACAGTTTAGTAGTGCCTCAAAAAATTAAGCATAGCATACTACATGACCAAAAGTTTCATTCCTAGGCACATACCCCAAGAGAATAGAAAATACATGTTCACACAAAAACTTGTATACATTGATGTTAACAGCAGCACTATGGTGAGAAAGTGTATACAATCCATACAACCATCAATTGATAAGTTCATAAACAAAATATATACTATCTACATAACAATATTATTTGGCAATGCTACAACATAAAACATTTACTAAGTCAAAGAAGATGGATAATAAAAGGCTATATATTATGTGATTCCACTTATATAAAAAATTCAGAATAGGCAAATCATTAGATATGGAAAGTAGATTAATGATTAGTCAACATAGTAAAGATGTCAGTTTTCCTCTGATAGACAACTGTTATCAAAATCAGCAATTTTTTGTAAACATAAATAAGATTATTCTAAAATTTGTGTGTGAAAACAAGAGGAATGAGAATACCTAAAGTAATTTTTGAAAGGAAAATAAAGTGGGACTAATTAGTCTCACCAATTTTAAGTATCCTATTTATTATATGGCTACAATAATCAAAACTGTGTGGTACTGGCAGAGGAATGGACATATAGATCAAGGGAACATAACAGAGACCCAGAAACAGACCCACATATATATGCCCAGCTGACTTTTGAAAAAGATGAACAGGCCAGTTCAATGCAGGAAAAGTAACCCTTTTCAAAACATGGTGCTAGACCAATTGTATAATCAAAAAAGTTAGTCTTGATCATTTTATATAAAAAAACCACCTCAAAATATACCATGGACTTAAATGTAAAGCCTAAAACTATAAAACTTTTAGACATAAATCACCTGGATATAGGGTAGGTAAAGAATTCTCAAAGTTGACAACAGAACCATGGTCCATAAAAGGAAAAATTGATAAAAAGACTTCACTAAAATTAAAAACTTTTTTTCTCCAAAAGACCCTATTAGGAGGATGAAAAGACAAGTTATAGGCTGGGGAAAAAAATACTTGCAAACCACATATCTGACAAAGGACTAAAAATGCTCTTAAAATTCAACAATTAAAAAGACAACCCAATCAGAACAGCTAAAATAACTGAATAGGCTTTTCACCAAAGAAGATATGTACAGAAAATAAATATTCACTTACAAAGATGTTCAACACTAGCCATCGGAGAATTTAAAACTACAATGATATGTCACTGAAACCTTGTGGAATGGCTAAACAGAACAAGACAAAACAAACAAATAAACAAACAAACAAGGATGTGGAGAAAATGGATTACTCATCCACTATTGCTGATGGGAATGTAAAATGGGATGGCCACTCTGGAAAAAGGTTTGGCAGTTTCTTAACAACAACAACAAAAAAGTAAACTACCACACGACCCAGCAATTATACTTCTGGGTAGTTATTTCAAAGAAATGAAGATATCCTTACACAAAAAACTATAATGAATGTTTATAGTATCGTTATTTGGAACAGCTCCAAAGTGGAAATAGCACAGATGCTCTTCAACAGGTAAATGGTTAAACTGTAGTTCAGTCATGCTATGGAATACTAGTGGGTAATACAATGGAACAAACTAGTGATATAAGCACAATTTGAATGATTCTTCAGAGAAGTATGCTGAGTAAAAAATCTCAATCCAAAAGGCTGCATACTATGTGATTCCATTTATATAGCATTTGTGAACAATAAAATGATAGAAAAGGACAACGTAAAAGATCTCTGTGGTAATGGGAATGTTCTGTATCTTGACTGTATGTATCATGTCAATTATTGTGGTTGTGATATGCAGTATAGTTTTGCAAGATGTTACCACTGTGGAAAAATGGACAAATGGTATATGGAATTTCCCTGTATCACTATTTTTCATTTTTATTCCCCGCTCTGGTGCTGGGAATTGGGCATACTAGGCAACCACTCTACCACTGGGCTACACTCCTAATTCCTTTCTCTATCATTTTTTACAAAATATATGTGAATCTATAATTATCTCAAAATAAAAAGTTTAACAAAAAAGTAGCTTAAGACCCAGGATATAAGAGGATAAATGTATTTAACATGAATTATAAAAAGCAGATATAAGTATCTCAACATTTAAAAAATTGAAATTAGTCTCACACATCATTATTGAGTCAAGTTTTGGTTATAAATTGAGGAATTGAAAAGAATGAAGAGAGTGCATAAATACCAATTTAATTTCCTGGAAAAAAAATTACAAAGGCACAGACAAATCTAGGTATTTAAAACAAACCTCAGCTCTTGAGATTTTTAATTTTAAGAAAATATAAAGGTTTCAAAAGAAATTCATTCCCATATAGTTGTCTTTAAAATTGTATCCCAGCTCCTCAGAAACCATGGCATTTCAATTCTAGGAGCTTAACTCCCAGAACAACTTATTTCAGAAGGATGGGTTACCACTCCTATTAAGGGGAGCTGGATACAGTTGGAGGAGTTGAGGGTATCTGTGGCAGAAGAAACAAGGTTAAGGGAAACACAAGTATAGTATAGTCTAAGAGACAGTACACAAGACTCAGCACCCACTCACCATTACTGACTTCCTCACTCTGCAAACAATCTTAGTTTTATCTCCTTTATTGAACTCCCAAGTAAATCACAAAATCTCCAGGCCACAATTTCCTCCTTCTCTAAAAGAGTGATAATATTTTCACCTGCCCATCAAACAGGATATTCACAAGGATAAATATATATATCTGTATGGCATAGAAATATTTGAAAGAAAGGTACCAAGACATAGTAACTGCATATGTGGTGCATCCAAAACATTTAAAGTCTGTGTTATTTGAGGTAACATGCATAATGGAAGATAATGATTTTGAGAAGATAATGAGAAAGGGAAAGAAAGCAAATGAGATGATTTAAACAAAGGCAACAACTGAGAAATAAAGTGAGCCGAAACACAAACACCCAAAGCAGGGCTTTTATTAAGGGACAGAGGTGCCAGGCTATCTTGAACAATGGCGAGAACAGCAACTAGGGGTTGGTGGGGTGAGGTTTGTAAGGGCTGAGGGAGTGTGGAGGTGACAGATGATTGGCTATGACTGGGGGCGAGGTGGGAAAAAGCAGGTCTTCGTGCTCTCTGGAGTGACTCATTTCCTGTAGGCAGGGGCCATTTTAGGATGCAGGGTTGTGGGGGCCATTTTATCTAGCAGAGAACTCTATCAACAACCTCCTTTACTGTCCTCCATTGTTGTGAGGTACAATAGTGGAAAATTCAGTATTGCTAAAGGCATACTAGCATTAGCAAAACCATTTTAATGGTTTTTCTTCAGGTGGATTTTCTTCAGAAAGCTTTAAGAGATTGAAAAAATCATAAATAACTCAAACCTCACAAGACTACAAATCTGCTAGAATTTGGGCAGAAGTCCTTATATTGAAAGATGGAACAGCCTGGAAAGAAGCAAGAAGACACTCAAATTGAATTTCACCTGGACAGCACTGATTAAATTTTGTCTGGTATTTTGGTTACTCAATCAAGTCTGCCTGTCTCCAATTGAATCTAAGGTCTTTGATTGCAGAAGCCACAATCCACACCTATCTTCCTTTCTCCCATGATCCACAGCTTTCCATGTAGCCAGCACTCTGCAAACACTGAATTGAACAAACATACATATGTATAATGTATTACTGCCAGTTTGAAAGAATATATTTAAAGTGCTCCAAAATAGAGCATGACTCCTGCTATTTATTTATCATCAACCTTGCAACTTATTGAACAATTTTTTCAATTTCTAGGATTTCATTTTTTCAATTTATATTATTTCTTATGTGGTAAGGAAAAATAAATTATGTAAATGCAAATTTTCTCCAAAAAAAAAAACAACAAAAAAACCAGCTTCCAAAGGTAAATCCCAAGCCCAGAAAGACATTAGGTAAGATAGTGAGAAACTTCTAGCTGTGATTATACCAGGTTTGATGGGCTGCTTCTTAACAATAATTAGTTATTGGATTTTTTTAAACATCTAATTTTCTAATCTTTACTCACCAGTGTCCAGTCTTGACTTGATATGCCGATACTTTGGATTCTGTGGTATCCTTTTGGTCAAATACTAAAAATAAGAAAATTCAAAATGAATTGGGTTAATATAAAGGCAAGGGTGGCAAAATCAGTAAAGAGTCAGACACTTAAAAAATAGAACAAGTGATATATTTCATAGACTTTAAAGATGGAAAGAACTCTAAAGAGCCAACTGTCCCTTTCACAATAGGTCTCTTCCATGGCATTTTGGCAGGTGAATGTACTTATCTTGTTTCTGTCAAAACATTTCCACATTTTATCAAAATAACTGAAGAGCACTGTGATAAGAAAAACTCTTCAAAAATTATCTCTTACATTGAGCCAAAGGAAACCCCTCAATTTCCTTTCAATCCACCCTTACAAGTGAGAATAAGACAGCTGCCTCTGCTTCAAGAAATCTGTTACAATAAATTCTTCTTTGTAATGTCACTCTTTGTATAATGGCTTCTGGGCCATCTCCTCTGAACACTCTCTACATTTTATCTATAGCAAATGTAAAAACAGTAGGTGGGATCTAGAGTTGAGCACAGTGCTCCAGATGTTGTCAGGCCAGCCACCTCTGGCACACTCTCATGCTGTCTCCCTGAGTCCAGGGCTCCATTGATGTCACTGCCATCACATATGCTCTTGTGGGACCTGAGATTCATGTCAGGTTCAAGGTAAGTTTATAGTTGATAAAAATGCCTAGGTCAGGTCTCCATTGTGCTGTGCTTTGATTGTTAACTCTTTGAATTCAAGCAGAAGACATTCACCCACATTAAATTCCCACAGCAAGTGCAAAAGCCATTAAGGGAGGGAATAAGACATGACATAACATAGCTTTCTCGCTTAAACTTTATTCTGGTCTATAAGTATGAAAACCTTACGTTCAGTACAGGTAGCTGTGGAATAGGAAATTAAAACTGGGTACTACCTTTCCAGCATCATCTTCTGCACATGTTCCTATGCTGAAGTGGTCAGGAATGTTCCCTTAATGTTTCCAGTCCTGGCAGATGTCTGTCTAGAATGCTTTTCCTCATCTTGTCCTTAAGTAAAATTTATTTTCTCTGTAAAGCTGTCCATGGTGGAATTAGGTACTTTCTTTCCCTCTATCTCCAGAGTATGACACCCTGTCCCACTGTCTACAATTAGATCTTCTTCCCTAGTCTAGGATTTACTTGAAGACAGGGACAATAACTTACTCGTATTTGTATTTACCCAGAACCTAGTACATGCTAAGTATATTTATTGATATTCAGTTAATAAATGAATATCTGAATGAGGATTGCATCACAGTAACTATCTGGTCCCTTAGGAGAGAATATCAAACTTAAAAAATTGCATCACTTGCATTTGAAAACAGTTAACTACAGTATGCCCTGTCAGGGGGACTAGAAAATAAACCATTTTCACATTAAAATACCTCTTCAAATTATAAATACCTTTTCAAAGCATAAAATCAGCATAAGATACTTCTGGGTTGTACAAAATATCTCTTGACGAGAGTTTTGGATTTCAAAGACCAAGAAGAATTTTTAAAAACTGGAGGCAACTGCAGAGTTATCACCTTTTAATTTTGCCAAGTAAGGACATTTAAAAAACAACAACAACAAGCAAAACCTCACAACTACCATCTGCTATTTTGTTAGGATGAAGTTTATTATTTATATATATTTAAAATTAAATTTCTCTTTAAATTGATATATAAAAACATAAGCCATCTGCTTTTTTTTTTTTTTTGGTATGTGCATTCTACGCAAGTGCTCCACACTGAGCCATATCCCCAACCTCACCATCTGCTATTTTAATACCAAAAAGGTAAAAAAAAAAAAAAAAAAAATCCTAAAGTAAAAAGGTCTGTTCTTTACTGTCTTTTAAAAACTCATGACAGTGTCTGTGTTTTTCACTTCACACTAGCAAGTAAAACCCGTATTATGAATACTCAGCACTGGTCCTCAGTTTGTGTTTGCAAGCCTTTAACTGTTTTACCCTTAGAAAAATTGGAAAGCTCATTTTTCCTTGTAAGCAGTAACCTGCTGTTTATTAAGAGAAACTGACTGCAATGCCAATTCCCATTCCTTTTCTAGAGGACTATGGAAAAGGTTAAGTAAAAGAAGAAAAATACATAGACTGGAAAGGGAGACTTAGGAGAAGTTCCCCAGAGGGAAACAATATCACAGCAAAATCAAACAAACAAACAGTAAACTGAGTCAAGGAAAGCTAATATTAGACTTCAGTTATCTTAGACTGAGGGACCTGGGGGGAGGCACTCTGCATTTTTATCATTTCTATACTATATTTCCTGTTTTTACTTTTGTTTTGGTTTTTCCACTAGTTTCCTAGCAAAGTTTCTTTTGAAAAACTCCAGACTAGTCTCTGCTGAACCAAGGGGATTTGTCCATACTGAACCCAAATAGCTAAGAAGTGAGGGTGTCTCTAGGGACCAGGTATGGTGGCGGCAGAATGATGAGGGGAGAGTGTGGACAGCTGCAGCCATGAGCCCTTCCCTCCCTGGTTTTCCCTTACATGGGACTAATGAGAAATCCACATGCTGCAAGAGAAAAATGTAGTGCTTCTTTTCCCTGTCCCCACTGCAGTCCCATTTCTTATTCCTGACTTTCTAGTAACAATCACAACATAAAGCTCTTTGTGCTCCACTACCAGCAGAACGCCAGAGATGTTATGGAAGAGCCATATCTTTTTCTTTAAAATTCCTGCTTTTGGGATGAATGCTTCTTGACCTACTAACCAACTGGCTTTCTTTCAATGACATAAACAGGTTGAAATGGTGGAAAGTGAAGGAGCCCTGAAAAGCAGCTGTTTCAAGGAGGAGTATTCATTTGTTCAACAAAGACTTAATTGAGCACCAACCATTCATTAGTCAACATTTACTGAGTGTCTACTAGGAAGGACACAGAGGTAAAAACAGTCTTTGCCATGGCTCTCACTGACTGCTGGATATGAAGATGTCAAGCTGCACAATGAATAGAGAGGGAAGCAGGGAAGTGACAGCAGCACATAAGAGCGGTACCTATTCTAGATTTGAGGTCACAGACTGATTCTTAAAGGTGCCTTCTGAGCCACATTCTAAGGATTCAGGAGGTTAGTCAAGCAAAAGTAGTAGTGGATGGGAGCAACAGGGCCTGGCAGTAAGAAAATCATGGGCAAAGTATGGAGACAAGAGAATGAGGAGACAGCATTAAGAACCTAATAGTAATTGGAGACCTAGAGCATTGGTGCATATGAGGATGAATGATGCAGGACAGAAAGCCAGAGGCAGATCACAAAGGGCCTTGTAAACATGCTGAGAAACTTGAATTTTATCCAGTAGATCAGTGGGTCTCAAACAGGTACAATTTTGCCACTTCTGGGCTCAGGGACATTTGTCAATTTCTGGAACCATTTTGGTTGGCCACAAATGGCATTTAATTTGGGGCATGGTGTTGGACATTCTGTAACGAACAGACAGCTCTTACAACAAAGAAACAGCCAGCCCAAATGTCACCAGTGCTGAATTTGAGGAACTCCAGAGAAGATGATAGGAAGTCATTAAAGGTTTAGGAAGGAATAATAGGATTACATTTCTGTTTTAGGAAGATCACTGGTAACAAATGGAGAATATGAATGCAGTCAAGAAGGAAGACACAATAATAAGTTGAGAAGCTATTGTATCAAGAGGATCTATAGTCACAAGAAATTGGCCATAGAAATGAAAAAGAAGAAATGGTTTAAAGAAATCTTTTAAGTGGAAGATCAATGTAACCTAAGGAGAACGATGGTACCGTGATTCCAAAACAGGAGTTAAGGAAGAAGCATATTTGGAAAAAACATGATGTGTGCAGTTCAGGAGTGTTGAGTAGCAATATCTATAGGCTATCCAAAATAGAAGTTCCCGGCTGGCTATACGGAGATTAGGATAGAGATCTGGGCTACCAAAAAAGAGTGTGGGAATTATCAGCATGTGGATAACAGATGAAGTCATGGGACTGGCCAAAACCACTCTAAGAGAAGAAAACCCCCAATGCTGAAGACCATGTAGAGAAGAGGCATGTTGGCTGAGACTCAGAAAAGGCTATAAGAAAGTGGGTCATGAAAATTAAAGAGGAGCTGCAGGAAAAAGGGAATGGACAGCAGGGAATAATGCTGTCAGGTCAGAGGACAAGAAGTAAAGCATGAGCAGGCAAACAAGAATGCAGGCCAGGGCCAGAGATTTACCTCAGTGGTGCCGTGCCTGCCTCACAAGTAAAAGATCCTGAGTTCGATCCCTGGTAAGAGGGGAGGGGGATGCAGGTCAAGAGAGAGAACAACAGAAAAATGAATTTGGATTGAGCAAATCAGGACTTTTGTTGACAGCCCTGATAGATGCAGTGATAGTAAACTGACAGCAGAAGCAAAAACAGCAGGTTGCATGGGGCTGGGGGGAGGGATGGGGAGGGAGGATAGTCTTTTTGTTTTTCCAAGAGTGCTGTTAAGGAAGAATCTTTGTTATTTTGTTTTGTTTTGAAATAAGAGAGAAATTTGAGAATGGTTATGGGCTAATGGGCAGAGGCCTAGAACCCAAGAGGAAGGGGAGACCTTTAGCTATATATTTAAAAAAAAGATTTATGATATGTGGTATTATTACAGGCTCTTTGAGAAACCAAAAATGTTCAAACCATTTGAGGGCTACATCTTTAGGGAAGGTCAAAAGACAATGCTCTCCCTGTCTCCCCTCTTTACTCCAGCTACTCAACTACTTGACTTTCAAGACCCAGCAACAAGTATCTCCTAGGAAGTCTCCTCTGCAGGGCCCTATGAGAAGAAAGTCTCTTCCCTGCCTGGATTTTTACTGTTCTTTGTGTCATTCACACTTCTCATGCTCTGCACTTGGGGACTACCCTATACTTCTCTGTTCCTGCTACAAGTTATAGTGCTACTAAAACAGCAGTAAGTATCTGCCAGATAAAGACCTGAGCAACATGCAGCATGCATGCTTGGTGTCACATGGGCCTCATAGATCTCAGAGGCTCTAGGAGTCTGAAAGGAGATTTCTCAAATACTGGGCGTGAGAAG